TATATATATATATTTCATATTCTACATGGGCACAAATCACTTTCTCTTCCTCACAGTAGATAATCTGGGCATGATTCCTCCAAGAGGGAAGCTACTTTCATGGAGGGAAGGAAAGGACTCACCTTTGTTCCTCCTCAAACCCACATGAGCCAAGGGTTCATTCCTTGCTGGCATAGCCCACAATGCTGGAGCCAGAATATTAAGAGCAGCAGGGAAATGAAAGATGCCAATGGCAAACTCACAAAGAACTCTAGCAATCCCACACTAAACAATCTGCCTCCCCCAACAACTCGGGAGCAGAAGGGACAGCAGTGAGGTCTGCAAAGGGTGACTCAGCACCATAAATGTGAAGGGAATGCAGATGCTGTTCAAAGCTTCAGAGATGCTCTTACACACACACACACACACACACACACACACCAAAGTGCCTCACTGTCGAGGACTCCACACTTATAATTATACACACAGAGGCAACTCTGGGTTTTGCAAGAATTCAAGGCAGAAGGTCAGGCAGAGTTATTCTCTTATACCTTTTGTTTCCCCCACAAAACTGTTTTAAGACTTCTCACTGCAAAATAAATGGTTTAAAAATCAGGCAATGACATAGTCACCCTCCCCTCCCAACCGCACTCTCTGCATTCTACTATCCCATTTTTTGTGTGTCTGTTACTTTGTTTTTATGAGAGAGAAAGACTGGATAGCGTATTTTCCCTTCTGATTTGCGCCTCCTTTGTGCAGCCACTTCCCACTGGCCAGGAGCAATAACAGTCTGTATGCTGGGCCAGTTATTCTGCCCCCTCTCCCCAGAGCAGGGATGTGTGTATGTGCTATGATTGTGCCGCCCTACAGTCACTGTTTATAGTGCTTGTGTCTTCAGCTCAATGGGTTCCCCTGGAGGTTCTCGGGGTGCACTGGATTCAATGGGCCGGTCACCTTTGAGAATAGACAGACGTTCTGAGAGGCCGCGCATCCGAGGGAAGAAGATGAAGTCGTACAAAAAGCCACCCATCAAACCACCAATAATTGGTCCAACCCAGTACACCTAGAAGAACAACAGAAGAAAGCATGGGGAGGGGGAACAAGAAGATAGGTTAGGGATACAGAAACAGCTTAGGATATAGCATTGCAGAAAAAGTAATACTTCAGGAGCTTCAGGGGGTTTTCCCACTAGCAAATTAAAGTACTCTTCACCCATCATTCATAAATCATACAGGACTGCATAACATTGGCTGTTCCTATTGCTGATTGCTATCCTATCTTTATAGTCTGGCTTGCTGGTGAATGGTGGTATCCTGATTTCAGGTGGGCAAGGCATTTTGAGCAAAGGGACTGGTAAACCTGTTGGCTCTACTGCCCTCCGCTTTTTGGGCATCACCAGCCAGTGGGAATCCATTTGCTAGTCAGGGCAGTGAGGTGGGATGGGACTTGAGGAAGTGGTAACTTATGACAAGTGACAGACTCATATCAGATGCTCTGCACGCAAGAAGTAGAAGAACACCCTTGTCAAAACATGCCCCTTCAAAACTTGACAGCTCCCCTCAGTCCACAAAACAGCTGTTTGGGGGGCTGTAGAGAGCTGCCAGTTTCAGAAACAGCCAGCCTCTTCTGCTTTTCTCTGCAAGCTGGAGAGGCAGTCCAGAAGCTGGAACAGTCTCCCAGCAGCCATTTCTCTGCCTTCTTTGGAGTGCACACTTTCAACATCTTGGCTTGCAGATGTGCATGAACTGGAAGATCCTCCCTCAATGCCTAGCAGCACTTGCAGCCCACCCAGCAGCTCCAGTCAGCTAGTCTCTTCTACTTTACCACCCACATCTCTGAGCCTGGGCCCTGATTCCTGGGCCCCAAGAGGAGGCCTTGGGTAAAGCAAAGGCTCTTTCATAATTGCCCAATCTCCAGTTCCATCATTTTAAGCTTGCTGGTAGTTTTTGCCACTAAGCTTAGATTCATATATTGTCATATACCTGATAATTAGCAGAATAATCTTAAAGTAAGGTCAAAAATATTTGACTTCAGGTTATAAACTGGGAGACTGTAAGTTCTAGTCCTGCCTAGGCACAAAGCCAGCTGGGTGACCTTGGGCCAGTCACTCTCTCTCGGCCCTAGGAAGGAGGCAAGGGCAAACCACTTCTGAGAAACCTTGCCAAGAAAACTGCAGGGACTCATCCAGGCAGTCTCTGAGAATCAGACACAACTGAACAGATTAAAAAAAGGGGGGGGGCAAAGAAGTCTGACATGGGGATACTCTGACATCTTCAGTGCCCTCTCAACTTTTTTTTTTTTTTTGAGTCAGTCTTGACTCCTGGTGACTGCCTGGACAAGTCCTTGCAGTTTTCTTGGCAAGAAATTCAGAAGTGATTTGCCATTGCCTTTTTCTAGGGCTGAGAGAAAGGGACTGGTCACACTGCTGGTTTCGTTTCTAGCCTGGTACCTTTAACTACTGCACCACACTGGCTTTCCCCTCTCAACTATACCAACAGAATAAAAATTGGAACTGAGTGCCATTTCTTTTTGGGACTATTATGAATATTTACTTTAATGGAAGATTAAAATGCACCCAGGTTCCACCTGTCATTTTCTTTCCTCAATCAAACAATAGCTTATTTGGGCCTTCCTGAGAGCCAAATGTCAAGAGTTCAGAGATTGCCTGGGATGAAGAAGTACTGTAATCGGACACAATTCCCCCTTCTGAGGTTGGAATTGTATCTCCAAACTCAGAGGGGGACAATGAAATAATCCTTCAGCCCCTGGACTGTTGTTTCAAAGAATGGTAAGATGGCATCTTTTCTTATCCTTACAAACCCCTTCCTTACCCAGTGGTTGGTAAAGTTCCGGGTTATGGCAGCTGGGGCAAAGGATCGGGCAGGGTTCATGCCAGCTCCTGTGTAGTACATCTGAAAAAAGAATAGGGTTAGGATAGGAAAATATTTCTTTTTTTCATTGTGGAGTTCATGTTCCTAGCCCCCAAGGGTCCAACTCTTTATTTATTTGTTTGCTTAAATATTAACATTTGTATACTGCCTTTAGGCAGATGCACAAGGCAAATAGTAAATACATAAGTAAATAAAGCAACAACAATTTCGTTAAGGCACCAAAATCAAGGTTAAAACTGTCCTAAGGCACCAAAAACAATGTATACCCACTGAAAGGCAGGTTAAAAGGCCCAATTAAAATGTTGTAATTTTTCTGAAAGGAACAAGCTATTCCTCTGAAGAGACTAGATTTCATCAGTTTTAAACAACTCAAGAGAAAGCCCTTTTCTTGGTGCCTGATAAGTGGGTTACCCTGGGTGACAATGTCCTCAAACGGGCCTCTTTGCAGATGTTAATGACAGGTCCCCTTCATAATGAGAGTGGTCATCTCAGTAGTCTAAGCCATTTAGGCCCTTCAGATTTAAAATCAGCCACCTTGAGATGAAAAACAACTGGCATCCTGGCTAAAATCCTGCTGGAATTTATATACAGTATAGTATTGGGGGGACTAATCCTCCACCCAGGCAGGATCAGGTAGCGACTACAGAGACGGCCTAAATGTATATTACAGCTGGCTATACATTGGCGCATCTTGCACATTGAATCATTACCCCAAAGAGGTGTCCAAGTGTGAGGGAGAATCCAACTGCCAGGGCCACAGATCCCATGCGTCCATTACGTCTCTCATCATAGGTGGCAAAGACACAGAGGACAAACTGTAGAGTCAGGATGATTTCCACAATGGTAGCTTGGCTTACATTTACACTGGGGTGCATCTGTAGCCAGGGAGATATGTGGAAAAATAGAACCATTAGGAACAGCAGAAGTAATTGTTCATTCCATTCCTAACTGCATTTCATAGGGGCTTTGGTTTCCAGAAATTCTTCATGCATACCAGGAGGGAGCACTGACTGCACGCATATCTAGCATAGGTTTGTGGCACTGGATATGGCAATCATATCACATTTTAATAGCAGCCATGTGATTATCTGCCAGACCTGAGTCTAGTCAAGCTAGAGGCTCGGCAAGGTGAGGCAGGGTTAAAGGAAAGTAAGGTAGGCCTAGAAAGCCACAGGAAGTCTGTAGCCAGGAGGAGAGCTCTGTCGATGCTTAGATGAAGGAGCAAGACAAATCCGAGAGTCTACCATCTATATCTTTATATCAAATGGCTAAATCAAACACAGTGGCACTTTCTAATACAAGTCTGTCTCTCACGTATAGCTGATTTTCCTCCTTCAGTTCTCTTAACTCTGTAGGGTGGGGGTAGAATCCTGACAATTCCCAGGGACACACTCATCCAGTTAGTTAATGCCAATGTGCCTTTAATCTTTATGAATCATCCTGACTGGGATTTGGAGCCTGGGGTAAACTTATATTTCTGTAATTGATCTAGCCATCTAGTCTGACTTTTCCACATTACATCTCTCCCCAAAGAAGGAACAACTGTTTTATTAGTATATTAAATATTTTCCTCATCTGAGACTTGAACCCAAAGATCCCCCCATTTGTTTATCCCATCATACTCTGTGTCAATGGGTGGATGAAGCGGGCAAATGGAAGGGCAGGGAAATCCACCAACTCCATTTCTGGCTCTGACCAGTTTTAGCCAAATTATGTCATCCTGTCCCACCACCACAATACACTTCGAAAATAAGAGTTGAAGGGGGTTGCCCAGAGTAAGCCCCTTCTGCCTGCAGTGAAGTTCAAGCACCAATTTGTGGACTGTGGATCTGCAGTCTCTCTATATCACTGGCCACTGCTGCTTGCAAAGCCCTCTTTTACTCCCAGCTGACTAGTGTTCAGAACCAGCTCCTGGTTTGAGTAGGTCTTGGGAAGTGTTTTTTGATGGCTACCCATCATTGCTGAGTAGTGGATTTAACGGGGGGGAATTTAACATGGGGGGGCAATATTTTAATTTCCCACAATGCCACCCAAAGTGACGTTTTGGCAGAAATTAAAATGGCAGCTAGACTAACTCCTTTTTGGTACTTAGTGCACCAAGCAGTGACGTAAAATATAACAGGAGGCCTAGCAAAGCCCTGCTAGTTTTCCTTCAGTCTACTGTCTCTCAAACTTATTGTCTTCCTTTTATCACATCTTCCTTTTGAGGCTGGACTGGACTTAATATTCTAACAGATCGCAGCCACTCACAAAACAGCCCATCTCATTCTTAATGCATAGGGTTAGGGTTCTGCACCCACCCCAAATTTCTAACTGCCTCAGGATCAACACTGCAGTCCAGCTGCATACAATTTTCTCCTCAGGGTCAAGGTCTTGGGGACAGCTGGTTGGCTCATCTCGCATTGAATGGTTTTTTGTACTATTTGGGAGCTGAAGGTGAAACCCTCCTATCTTAGCTGACAGAAAAATCAGTGAAATGGTGGAATTTTACTGATTAAAAAATAAAGTACAGAGAAACTTGAAAATAAAATAATAATAATCAAACAACACCTGCCTATCCCAGGTCCTTGGGAAGGACTTGCTAGATAGATAAAAACGCCAAATCCGGTCTAAACATCTGGCTGACTGTGCAACCCACCATAATAATGTTCCTGCTGAGTTTCAAGGCAGTAACATTTGACTTGCAAGGCAAAACTTATATTGACTACAGGTAGTCCTCATTTAGCGATCACAATTGGGACTGGCAGGTTGGTCATAAAGTAAAGCAGTTGCTAAGTGAAACCACGACTGTGCTTACAATCTTACTTTTAGCTTTCCTTTGCTTTACAGACCTGCATTTACAATAAATGCAAGGATTGGTTGTAAAGTTACTTTTTCATCACTGTCATAAGTGCAAAGAGTCACTAAACAAGGCAATTGCTAAATGAGAACTACCTGTATTCTAGTGCAACAATTAGTGGTCTAAAAGCCAGTAGAGGTCATGCATTGGCTCAGCTGAAGGGGCGGTCCTTCATCTGCAAAGTAGCCAATGAGCTGCTGAGATTAGCCTGCCACAAACTACCCTGTCCCCATGGGACACCGTTGCTCAAGGTGTTGTAAGATGGAATGGTGTACAGTATTTTGGAAGCAGAGATGAGAAATGTGCCTTGAGGTTGCTTGGCAGGTGAGGGAGGGATTAAGAGAGGGCAGTATCATCCATTTCTGCCTTCCAGAAACAGTTGCCTGCCTATTCTAAGAGCAAGAAAACTAGGCAGTGCTGAGAAGCCCTGAATCAATAAAGGAACTGATAACATATACATCAGTTTTTCCCATAGCAAAAATGGGAGGAAATTGGCTCAACTATGGCTTCCCAGTAGCACTAACCATGATATAAATATATCATGGCAATGCCTTTTTTCTGTTGTGTCCCCATGAGCTCACCTTCATTTCATCCCCAGTCTGAGGAGCCCTTGGTGCTCTCTGACCTTGGTGATTTGCTTGCAGATGTTTCTTTACCCAACTAGGTAACATCATCAGTGATGGCAGCTAATTGGGTAATGAAACAACTGCAAGCCAACAACCAAACTCTGAGAGCACCAAGGGCTCCACAGTTCAACCCTGAGCTATAGATATTCTTTTCTTTGGCATCCCGAGTCTGTGAGTGAGATAGGCTTAAGCCAACCTTAATTGTACCAGTGTAAAAATAACTGTCTAAAGGCAGCCTCAGGATGTGTAAAATCTGTTAGGCCTTGTCACCTGTTACAAACAAACCTCTAAAAAGAATTAAAATAATTTCACAGTCTCTAAGAGAAGGATGAACACAGATGCCTTCCATTCATCTGGAACGGAACTGTATCATCATTAGAATTCTTCTAGGAATTTTAATCTCCATTATCGTGCACCTCCAAAATTTGATATCTAGAATTAGATTGCCAGCAAAATGTAAAAATATGACATATATAGTACACTAACACAGAATGTATTTAGTACAATCTAATTCACTCGGTCTCTGAATATTTCAAGATACATTCTTGGTATAATTTTCATTCAGATGATTGATATTTGAATATGCAACAGTTACTGCTCAAATCCAAAATATGGAGATTCAAAATCCATAATTAAAAAGCTTTTAAACTCAGCTGAAATGCTAGTTTGAGGGCTTTTAAAATACGTTTTCCTCCTGAAAACAGTTCATTTACTACCTAAGGGTGTATCCAAGGGAAGCCTTTAATGTGCTGTTACCCTGCCTAGCGATGAGGATCCTGAACTTTATCTTTCACATGAAATGTTCCTGTGTTTTTGCACGAATTCTAACTTTTCTCCTTTCACAAAAACAAAAATAACAGTTTCACAATTAGTAGTAATGATAATATTAGCAGACCTCCATCTGGGAATGTTCTAGCAGTGCAGCAGGTTTACATCAAGAGTGGAAGGGCTTTTTTATATAGGAAAGTTCATTAGATTTCATTCTAACTCACGCCTAATATATCTGAAAACCCTTAAATTGGGACTGTTTTTGAGAAGAACAATGTTATTTGATATGACCAGCCAACCAGCTGGGGATTCAAAGATTCTGGTGAGGAGAATAATCCTTGCTTTTCCTTCAAAGTGGAGTAGGACTGATTTATGTTAGAACTAACTGCAGATCTGATTAAAAGTTACAACAATGATAGTCTTGTTTCATGAAAAGTGCTTTTGATATCACTCATACTATCCTAAAAACTTAATCTGCATCTCTCTTCTTATAGATCTCTCTCTCTCTCTCTCTCTCTCTCTCTCTCTTAGTCCCACTCTTTTACTAATCTTAATACATCCTATTACAAATTCTAGCATATTCTCCTTTATCCTCTGTACTCTCCACACTACTCAGGCATGCAAAGTATCTTGGGCAATCTGGCTTTTACTCAACAACTACTCCAAGAGACTAGCTGAGACAAAAATAGTTTGCCAGCTCCCATGAAAACATTTCAGTCCTTGTTTCAGGTTCTGTGCTAACAGATTTGTCCTTCTAGATTTAGGGTTAAAAAGCCCTCCTATATGGGATGGCACTTTCTACCTTCATACTTCTGGTCCCCAATTAGTCTCCCTGATAATCCAGATTTTAAATGTCACAGTGTGCAGCCCTTTAGAGGCTCTCCTGCATACAGCAATGCTAACTCATTGCTTGTTTATAGCAATAGGGATACCACCACCCGCTCAAAAAGCATTCCCAGACAGCTCTTCATGATCCAGTTACCGTGTTGAGTGCCAGGTTACCCCGTAGTGCTGCTGGGGTGACTCCGTAAAGCACAGCTGCACCAGCCAGTCCTCCCAACACCTGGGCAACCACGTAGAAGACAGCACGGAAGAGGGAAAGTTGCGAGCCCAACAGAAAGGCCATGGTGACAGCTGGGTTGATGTGGGCACCGCTCACATGGCCTAGAGACTGCACCATGGTGGCTGCTACCAAGCCAAAGGCCAATGCCACCTGCAAAACATTTGAGGGGCCAACAATCCAGCGAAGTGAAGCCCCCAGGCCAAAAAACACATAGAACATAGTCCCAAAGAACTCAGCAAAAACAGCTCTCCAAAAGGAGGATGAGCGTGCCTCCCACATGACGTGTCAGGAGGAGGACAGACACTGAATATGGTGCAGCAGGATGATCTTCAAGCTCACTGCTGCTTGCTTCTTCACTCAAGCCCCTTGCTTTCTATTGTGGCTATGAACTTTATAAGGTTTGCTAGTCTAGTCCAGCCCAGGAGGTGGGAACTCAAATTGACTGACTGGGGTCTCTTAACTCTTCACTGCCTGACCTAAAGGTTTAGGCACAAGCCGATTCCTAGATCCTGTGGCTGCGATTAGAGCTTTAACTCCAATAAGTCGAGCCCTTTCATTTCAGCTTTTCCCTTTTCCTTGCTCATCTCTCAACTAAGGTGCTTTACTTTCATTTTCTGCATAGCAACTATTGGAGAAAGACCCCAAGTGTAGCTTGCAAATTGCTTCAGTGGAGCTCATTGGGAGGTGGCATGGAGTCATCCTTCACAATCCAAATCAAAGGCCGAGAGAACACACTTGCATATTCTTCCCGATGCAGAGGTGCACGAGAGGGAAACAGCCTAATTTCCAACACTTGCAAGCAGCCAGAGTTTTTGACTATTTGTGACATGCCATTGCTGGATCATGTATGTGAATGCCAGGGAAGTGTCACTGCTATCATAGGATATTATCTGTTCACTTTTCCCCATTGCCGAATTGAAGAGCTCCCAACCCATTCATGAGTTGTCAGAAAACTATACTTGCATGAATTTTGCTATCTTGATTGATGATCACTACTATATCTCTGTTGCCTCTGAGTGCATCTCCACTGCCACCTTGCTGTGGTTGGAAAGTGCCACATTTAGTGTTTGGTGAACATATGTCTTCATGATGTTGCCTCTGTCTCATTGTCAGTCTGCTGTTAGGGGAGCATGAAGACAACTCTAGGTGTTCTGGAATGGAAGTAGTGTTTTCAATGTTATTCCAGCAGAAGGCCTTCCATGTGGACAACCTTAGGCACATGGAGAAGGCTGCTTGAGATGATGTGGTCAGGGTTGATCTGAATTGGGACTTCCCCCTTTCGTTTGGACACTGGCCTTTGTGCCTGTGGTGCAGGGTGATTTTGGCACAGACCAGAAACCATGCTTTTGTAGCCATTTTGTGGTTTCTTTTTTGTTGTTCTAATAATTCTGTCAACTGAAGTGCTTGCTTCCTCAACTGAGAGCTCACAACCCAAAGCAGCTGGCAGATGGACACTGCAAAGACACCATTCCTATTCTTGAATACCATTCCCATGCATCTTGGGATGGTAGGTGGGCAGAGGGCCTTCCTCTGATTTTCTGTTGCTCTGGCTGTGGGGTAGACTGGAACCCAACTTCTGCAACTGCTTTAGTTGCTGTATTTTGAAGAGTAGGTTGATCTATCTACCTGCACACAAGATAGAAACCCCCCTTTCTCAAAATCCAGCTCTTCAACCACACTTACCCAGCAGATGCCTCTCAGTTGCACAAATCTGGTTGACCCCTAGATGGAAGCCAAGATACATCTCTCTCGTGCCATCTACTGGTTAGCAGGTTGAGAGGTCAATACAGTAATCATTTTGGGGAAATGATATGGCATTTATCCAAGAGCACCGCACAGCTTAATGCTTCTGTCACATATACCCAAGGTGATTGCTACATTGCAGTCAAAAGAGACAATTCTTCATTGTCTGCTAGGGGTCATTAGACCGATAGGTCAACAGTTCTTTGGAAAAACAAACAGGAAAAAAATGGATTGGACAGAGTGCTAGGACCTTACAAGCCTTGCCCCAGCATATGTCCTATACAGTGATTGGGGGTGACTTTTCCTATGGCTGGTGACATTCAGATTTCAGCCAGAGAAAACATCAATCACCACCTATACAGCATTATGCAGCACAGCTGTACAGACAGCAACACAGGACGGTCCCACTCCGAATGCACAGTAAGGATGCACTCTGGGACAGCAAGATTTAAGGTGACGGGATTGCCTCCTGGTTCCAGAACGGAAGGAAAACACAGCAGAAGCAGATGTGTGGAAATGTCTGTGTCAGTTCTCTGCTGTACCAGACTTACTTCCAACATCGTACCTAACACATTTTACACAGCCTGTGGCTGATAAGGTGGGGAGCAGGGGGAGAGAAATGCCGCTTTAGCATCAGTACATCTAAGAAAGAGTTAAAGCTGTCTCACTCACGGGCTGGGGGCAAGATGAAGGCAACATCACAGGGACTCAGCAAAAATAATATGTTGTCCGGAGGATGTTTGTCCTAGAGTTAGGTGTGAGTAGGAAAAGACCCTGTGTCTCTTAAGACTCTTTGTGATATTGTTTCTGACTAGCACTGGAAACTGGAGGCACGTCGGATGTTTTATGTTTTTATATTTTCTGTAGAGTATTTTTCCCCTTTTCTTCCTGGATTCAGCATCCCATAGGACGCAGTGACTGTTCTGCCAGTGAGGTAAGAGCCGTTCCATTATTTCCAGCCTGTCTCATTTGAGCATGGAACTATCAACATTTCATTAGCAAGTTAAAAGGAATGCCAATATGTTGCTTTGTTCTGTAGTCCTGAACCAAATAATTTCTCTTTATATCACTGGACATTTTTCTCCTAGAAGATCAGCATTTCTTGACATGTAACATCATATCAAGGGAAACCCTGCAAGTTATGCTGCACTGAGACCACCACAAGACTGACACGAGATGTGTAAATCCATAAGGGAGGAAATAAAATGTTTTGACCTCAACATTCTGGAAACATCTATGAGGATCTGCCTTAATTTTCATGCCATGTGCTTGCTAAGACTGAGGTGGGCAGTCCTATCATGATCACTGAAAACTTTTAATCAGGCAGTAAGCATAAAATCAGAAAAAGACACTGAATGTCTCTGCTTCTGATATTTTTCCTAGAGTTAGGTATGGGTTGGAAGCATGTCTGATGTTTTATGATGTTTTTTGTTTTCTGTACAATATTTCCCCCCCAGCTGTCTACTTCTGATATTTTCTTCTGAAACCATTCATTCATTAGCAATCCCAGAATCTATAATGTCCTTAATGCAGAATTGCACAACTTGTGGCCTTGTAGATTTAGTTGAAATAAGATTCCTATAATGCTGGTCATCTCAGTGAGCTGATGCAAGGTGGTAAGAGCTACTAATACAAACCATATTTGTTTATCCCAGGGTTTCCCCCAATTCTATCCAATTTATAGACCACCTATATCTCCTCCACTGTTTTTTCCCCAAAATAGGCTCAGGGGTATTTTTAGACTGAGATTTAATGTTTTAGCTCACAAACTGGGGGATAGCAGTACAGAATAACTGTGGAGGATGATTGCTATTTGTGAATTTTATCATTATGTTGGTTAAAAATAGAACAAAACAAGGATTCCACTCACAACAGTCAAGATACAATGGCGGTCCTGACAACTTCCTGAGTACCAGTCTGGTGACTAAAGCTTACCTGAGTTGTAAGCAGTTGCTGCTATTGCTACCCTACATGCTGATACCGCCAGAATAGGCGATGATTGTGAATGTTCTACAGTATTTCAGCCTTCCCAAACCTGGTGGTCTGCTGATATCTTGAACTTCAACTCCTACCATGATCACCCATCATTCCTATCAACAAAATGTGTTGCCAATAAACAGCTCTTTGTATTCTATACTCCATCATAATTACTAGGGCACAACTATTACGTTGAATGATATTACAGATCTCTCTGTGAACAAAGAATGCCATCTTCTGCCATAAAGCAAGGTGAGTAGGCCATGTGAATCTCTTGAATCTCTCTTCTGCAAGGCCAAAGTTTATTATCTATGATTTTCAGTGGAAAAGAAGAAAAAAACAAAATGGAAGCCCTGCCATAGGTAGCCCTCAACCCACAAAATATTGCCTGCCAATAGCATGTGTTCCCTGCATATTGAAAGAGTACCTACCTCAACATACTCAGTAGTTTGATACACTCAAATGATGGACACAGGTTAAATTAGGAGGGGTATTTCTAGACAGAGGAGTCCTGGCATTTCCATTCAATGAAAAAAAACAGAAAAATAGATTGAAATTACAGATAAGGACAATATTGTCTGGATCCCTGTAACATTTCTGAATGAGGCAAGGTAATTGTATAATAAAAGTCTTATCAAGAAGCACCCGGATGTATCAGGCAATACCATGGCCGAATTGATTCTGCCCATCCAGTCAAGTTATCAAGAAAGAGCCTGTTGCAGGTCCTCTCTCCTCACCAGGTACACAGAGTATGAACCAGGTGACAGGCCTTCTTAGGGGCGGCCCCCATTTTATGGAATAATCTCCTCCTGGAGGTCCAGATGACCCTGGCCCTACTGGCCTTTCATAAACAAGCTAAAACAGTTCTAATCCATCTTCTGTTTAGCCCTTAGATCATTAGTTTAGTTTTATGGGTTTCTGTGATGTTGAGATTTCAGATGGTTTATTCTAACTGTTTATTGTTGGTTTTTATTGGGCCTCTTGACCTTGTTGTACCCTGCCCAGAGTTCACTGGGACTGGGGCCAGTTATAAATACTGATAGATAGATAGATAGATAGATAGATAGATAGATAGATAGATAGAGCTAAAGTAAGAGAG